CCAATATGAAACCACTACTACAAATTACCATCTGCAGTGCAGTAGCTTAGTTCACAGATATCAGTATATATAGTTAGTCAGTGTGAGAATCTTTCCAATTAACTCCTAGATTAAAGAATCTTCTGAATATTCTCCGTTCTTTTGAGTTCTTACACCAGGGCAACTATATGATATTTATAAATGTGTGTCTGGTTTATTTCTCTTATGAGTATATCTTCAAATGGCATCCATTTATATATAAAGGCTTTGAGTTTATCATTCTTTATAGCTAAGTAACACACCATTGTACAAAAATAACATATTTTTTCCATCCATTCCTCCAGTGATTGGGATCATACTTGTTTCCAAGATTTGGCTACCACAAATTGTGCTGCTATAAACATAGATGCATATATATCACTATGATATGACATTTTCAGTTCCCCTGGGAAAATTTCCACTAGGGGGATAGCTTGTTTGAATGGGATTTCCAGTCCTAGTTTTTTAAGGAGTCTCCACGCTGATTTCCATAATGGCTGCAACAGTCTACATTCCCACCAGCAGTGGAGCAGGGTTCCTTTTCCCCACAGCCATTCCATCATTTATTGTTTGTTGATTTCTTTATCATTGCCATTCTTTCTGCAGTGAGATGGTATCTCAGTGTTGTTCAGACATAATTTTTAAAAGAGTGTTCACACTGATTTCCATAATGATTACACCAGTCTACACACCCAACAGCAGTGGAAAAGGGTTCCTTTATCCAACAGCCACTTCAACATTTGTTTAGGTTGATTTCTTTATGATAGCCATTCTTTGTGGGTTGAGATGGTAGCTCAGTGGGGTTTTTTTCTCAGTATTGTTTTAATATGCATTTCACAGATGGCTAGTGATGTGGAATATTTTTTCATACATTTATTTGCTGCTGTAATTTCATCCTGGGGGAAGTGTGTGTTCATCTCAGATGCCCATTTCTGGACTGGGACTTTAAATTTTGGGGCCCTAATGTTTTTTACTTCTTTATAAATTCTAGAAAGCAAATCTTTATCTGAGAGCTTATTAGTTAAGATTTTTTCCAAATTTTGGGGTTGTCTTTTTACTTTGCTGGTAATTTCTCTTGAAGTGCAAAACCATCTCAATAAGAGGAGGTCCCAGTTGATAATTTTTTCAACATAACAGCATGGCTTTATTTCCTATATTTCGTCTTCCTACTTTTCTACTGGATGGTTAAGACCAAGGTAAAGCAGGACCTATGCAAC